TCACCCCTAAGTATTCCAATATGTATCTACTAAGAATTAGGATATTCTCCTACATAACCACAATACCCTTATCACACTTGAGACTTAACATATAATGACATATAGTATTTTCCCTAGCCTTTTAAAAAAATTTAAAACTTTCAGAAAAGTTGCAAGATTAGTACAACGAGTAACCCATTTACCTTCCCTTTGCCTACATTCACTGATAACATTTTGCCAGACTTGCTTTGTATCTCTCTCAATATGAGTGTGTATAATAGCAATGATAAAATAGTTATTTTTGCTGAATCACTTGAGTTAGGTACAAAATTCTTTACACTTCACTGCTATATATTTTCAACATATATCTCCTAAGAACAAGGACATTTCCATACATAACCACAATACCATTATCACACCCAAGACATTTAACCTTCATCCAATACTATTATGTAATATACAATTTCCCCAGTTGTCTCATTCATGTCTGCTATGGTTTGAATGTGCTCCTTCCAAAATTCATGTTGGAATTTAACCCCCATTGTGTTGGTATTAAGAGATGGGGCTTTTAGGAAGTGATAAGGCTATGAGGGTTCCACCCTCAAGATGAGTGTTGTATGAAAGGGCTTGAGGGGGCAAGTTTGCCCCTTTTTTCTCTTCTGCCATGTAAGGACACCTGGGTGGCACTATCTATGAGGAACTGGCCTTTGCCAGATACCTAACATGCCAGAGCCTTTGTCTTGAATTTCCCAGCCTCCAGAACTGTGAGAAAATAACTTTCTGTTTTTTATGAATAACCCAGTATGTGGTATTTTGTTATAGCACCACAAACAGACTAAGATGGTACCCTTTATAATATTTAATTTTTGGAAATGCAATCAATGATAGTGCATTGCATTTAGCTGACTTTAAATTTGTATTTTTGCAAAGATCACTGGCTGCAGGGTGGAGAATGATTGTAGAGGAGGAAAGACTGGGAGCAGGGAGACTGGTCGGGAGGTTATTATTGTAGAAGTCTAAGTGAGAGATGATGATGACTTGCACCAAAGTGGTGGTGGTGGTAATGGAGAGAAATTGTGGCTATAAGATGTACATTAGGACAGTATAACCTACAGGATATGGTAATGGCTCAGTTATGGGAGCTGAAGAGTCAAGGATAATTATCAGGTTTGTGCATCTGAAGTTGCAAAAATAGTACAAATAATTCCTGTATATCCTTCACCCTGATTACCCAAATATTAACATTTACTGTGTTTGCTTTATTTTAATGCATTTATCTCCACATATGTAATTTTTTTTCCTGAACTGTTTGAGAGTTTCAGAGATAAAGTTCATTTAACTTAACTACCTGTGATGGTTAATTTTGTATTTATTTATTTATTAGAGATGAGGTCTTGCTCATCTCTAATCTGGAGACTCCCAGGCTGGAGTACAGTGGCATGTTGATAGCTCATTGCAACCTCCAACTACTGGGGATCCTCCTACCTCAGCCTCCCAAGTAGCTGGGACTATAGGCTCTTGCCACCACACTCAGCTAATTTTTATTTTTTTTTTGTAGAGACAGGGTCTTGATACATTGCCCAGGCTGGTCTTAAACTCCTGGACTCAAGTAATCCTCCCACCTTGACCTCCCAAACTGCTGGGATTATAGGCATGAGCTACCGCACTGGCCCTGTGATTAATTTTAATTTGTCAACTTGGGGCAATTAATGTGTTTCTGGACTATTGGTGCCCAGATATTTGGTCAAGCACTATTATGGGTCTTTCTGTGAGGGTGTACTAAATGAGATTAACATTTGAATTGGTAGACTGAGTAAAGCAAATTGCCCTCCCTAATGTGGGTGGGCCTCATCCAACCATTTGAAAGCCAGAATAGAACAAAAAGGCTGGGCTGGGCATGGTAGCTCACGCCTGAAATCCTAGCACTCTGGGAGGCTGAGGCGGGAGGATCGCTTGAGTTCAGGAGTTTGAGACCAGCCTGAAGAGCAAGACCTTGTCTCTGCCGAAAATAGAAAAGAATTAGCTGGGCGTAGTGGTGTGCAGTTGTAGCTGTCGGGAGGCTGAGGCAGGAGGATCCCTTGAACCCAGGAATCTGAAGTTGCAGTGAGCTATGATCACAACACCACTGCACTCTAGCCCGGGCAACAGAGAGAGAGACCCTGTCTCACAAACACAAACAAAAGAACAAAAAGGCTGACCCTCTCCCAAGTAAGAGAGCCTTCCTCTTTTGCCTGACTGCTTTGGGACAGGAACATTGGCTTTTTCCTACCTTCAGATTCAAACGGAAACATCAGCTCTTCCTGGGTCTTGAGCCTGGCCTTTGAACTGGAATCACACCGTTGGTTTTCAGGCCTTTGTACATGGACTGGAGCTACACCGTCTGCTCCAGCTTGTCAACTCACCTTGAAAATCCTGGGGATCCTGGGACCTGTTAGTCTCCATAATCAATGAGCCAAATCTTTATAATAATATCTATCTCCTATTGGTTCTGTTTTTCTGGAAAACCCTGACTAATGTATATTTACTTTAAAAAAAAGACATTTTCTCACATAACCAGAATATAATCAAACTGTGAAAATTAACACAGATACAGTACTATTGTCTAATCTATAGACCTTACTCAAAATTTGCCAATTGTTCCACTAATGTGCTAAATATAAAATGAAAAGAACTTTTCCTGTCTGGACTCCATTATAGGATCACATATTGCATTCAGTTGTTACTGTCTGTTTGGTCTCCATTAATCTGGAATAGTTCCTTAATCTTTCTTTGTCTTTTATGACTTTGACATTTTTTGAAGAGTACACATCTTTTATTTTGTAGAATGTCCTTCAATTTGGGTTTATCTAATGTTTCTCTATGATAAAGATTTAGCATAATGCATTTTTGGCAGGAATACTTCAGAAGCCATGTTGAGTCTTCAGTGCACCTTACCAGGGTGCACGCAATCTTGATTTTTCCTATTACTAGTGGTAATTCTGATCACTTGATTAAGGTGGTATCTGTCAGGTTTCTCCACTATAAAGTAATTCTTTTTCTGTCTGTATTTGTGGGAGATACTTTGAGTCTATGTCATTCCCTATTTCTTATTAAACTTTGTCCACTACTTTTAGCATCTGAGAAGTATGTTTGAGGCACCTCTTAGTCAAGGGTTATTGGAGATGGAATGAATCACTGGAGGTGGGTGAGTGTGTGTCAGTGAAATCACCTAGGGAGACAGTATGTGGTGAGAAAAGAATCAGAATGTTTATTAGAAAGACCCCTCTAGCTAGTGTGTGAAGAGTGTATGTGAGGAGTGGGAAGAATAGAAGCAAGAGGAGTGGAAAGCCTTTGTTAGGAGTCTGGTGAAAGATAACCGCAGTGAAGGCAGGAGATGGGCTAGAGAGAAATAGATCAAAAAGCTGTTAAAGAGATGGCATCTATGGGACTTGTTTTTGGTCAAGGCCTTGCAATTTGCTAATCCAGTGACAGTGGTAGGGAGAGGTGGAAGTCTGTGGTTAGGGAAAGCCTTGATGTGGAGGTGACATTTAAACAGAGATTTGAACCAATAGAGGGAACTAACCATGTGGAAAGAGAGATGCAAGCACAGGGAATGGTATTGAGTATATTCTAGATGTGTGATGCCAAGCTCAGTGTTGGCATACTTAGGTGTTCAGTAAAAGGTATTGGAAAGATGAGTGAATTAATGTATGAGTGGAGAGGGCTAACA